GGCCCGGCCCGGCCCAGTTCGGCCCGGCTCGGCCCGCCCGAGCTGCGCTGCCCGCAGCTCCTCTCGCGGTACCCCACGCCGCCACTGTGCCCTGCCCCGGCTCCGCGGGCCCGGCCCGGCCCGGCTCCGCTCGGCCCGCTCGCGTTCCCGCGGCCCAGCACAGCTCAGCCCGCGCCGGCCCCACGGGGCTCTCCTCGCCCCGACCCGGTTCGGTTCAGCCCGGCTCGGAGTCACTCAGCCCAGCACAGCTCGGCCAGTGCCGGCCCCACGGGGCTCTCCCCGCTCCGACCCGGTTCGGTTCAGCCCGGCTCGGAGTCACTCAGCCCAGCACAGCTCAGCCCGCGCCCGCCCCATGGGGCTCTCCTCACTCCGACCCGGTTCGGTTCAGCCCGGCTCGGAGTCACTCAGCCCAGCACAGCTCGGCCAGTGCCGGCCCCACGGGGCTCTCCTCACTCCGACCCGGTTCGGTTCAGCCCGGCTCGGAGTCACTCAGCCCAGCAGAGCTCAGCCCGCGCCCGCCCCATGGGGCTCTCCCCGCTCCGACCCGGTTCGGTTCAGCCCGGCTCGGAGTCACTCAGCCCAGCACAGCTCAGCCCGCGCCGGCCCCACGGGGCTCTCCTCGCCCCGACCCGGTTCGGTTCAGCCCGGCTCGGAGTCACTCAGCACAGTGCAGCTCAGCCCATGCCGGCCCCACGGGGCTCTCCTCGCCCCGACCCGGTTCGGTTCAGCCCGGCTCGGAGTCACTCAGCCCAGCACAGCTTGGCCGGTGCCAGGCCGGCCCAATGCAGCTTTATTGGCTCTGATCCGACCCGTCAGCATTGCTGGGCCCGGTTCTGCTGCGCCCAGCCGGGCCCAAGGCAGCTCCGCCGGGCCGGGCCGGGCCAGGGCGTCCTGTCCAGTCCCACGGCGGGCGCCGCTCATCCGGCACCTCAGGGCTGCACGGGGAGGGCAGCGGCGCCGGGGGTCCCGTCGGGGCGGCCGTCCGCGGCGCCCGCGGCCCACCCCGCGCCCGGCGCCAGCAGCTCCTGCCACTTGACATAGGTGAGCGCGGCCAGGACCTTGAGCTGCGTGCGGAAGAGGAGGCCGGCGCCCTCGCGCAGCCCGGCGCCCAGCTGCCGGTCCAGCTGCGCGCACAGCTGCTGCAGGAGGCCCTGGGCGGCGCGGGGTGGTGGGCGCGGGTCCCACGGGCGCCGGGCGCCCCGTCCCGCGCCCCCCGCCGCACTCACGCGCTGCTCTGGGGACGGGCGCTCGGCGCCCACGGCGGCGCTGGCGAGCACCACGAGGCTGT